AAAGTACTCCAGAGTGTTGTTCAGCATGGGGGTGAGTAGAAAATGAAGGCTAATCATGTTTTGGGTGTACTATTCCTTTAAGGATAACTATCTTTTTATTATTAAATGAAAAACATTTTCTACACAAACCTCTGCTGAGCCTTTTGTGACATATGGAGGTCATGTGAATAAACGGTTAATGGCATACACGGTCACTGGAAGTACCTAACCCTGTTCTGACATGTACACATTATGTACAATAAACAATGGTTTCAAAACTTTTATTTTGAAAAAAAAAAAACTACAAAGTACTTCTTCTGCTCCGTCTCAACATGCTGGGTGATGGCTGAAAGTTCCTGCAGTGGAAAATGGGCCTAGTATCAAGAACAGAAAATCCTGTAAAGTATCCTGCTTTAGAGTTTCAGTAAAGCACCGACATAAATCATCAGTTACTAGGTAAACAGAGACGAATGCTTTTGGCATGAATCACCTGGAGGGGGAGATGCACAGGATGTACACACGTGCTGAGAAGTTTGCTCCATCTTCCAGCCCAGCTCTCCTGAGCTCATCTGATTCTCTACACAGTTTCTGTTTTTCTTCAATTTCAGTTCCTGCTGTTCCTATCTCTGCCTCACTGTTTGGTTAAATAACACTTTAAGTGTGGAAGTCTACCATTAACAGGAAAGTCCTCCTTGCCTCCTCATGCATGTGTTCAGTTCACGGTTCGTGACAGGTGAGAGCTCCACGCAGGGCAGCATGTTGGAAAGTAGGTGTGAGGGCGTGGTCCTCCTCATTAAAGGAAACACATACTGACAGAGCTGATGCATGAAGCCTGTTAATTACTCCCTGGCAGTAACACTATCCATCAGCCCCTTCGTTTTATCTCCGTGCTTCACACAGTGCATCAGAAACGGTGCTTCCTTGCTCTCTGCTGTCCAGTGTGTGTTTGCCTGTATGCTTGTGTAGTCGGAACAGATGGAGTGCCATCTCTGAAGCAGTCAGAGGTATGCCGATCACCTGTGTGAGTTCGCATGCTTGACTTATGCAGCACGGCACGTTTCATCACAGGACATATGACGAGTGACAGGTGTCAAAGTGTTTAATGTTTGCATGTCTCAGTAGTCCTGCCAAACATAGTCCTTTCCTACTTGCCTGCAGTTAAATATAAACCTGATGGAAAACCTTATCGGTACAGTAGACCATTAATTCATTATTCTTTTAATTAAACAATTTTCTTTGGATCTTACCTTGATCATTTTCTTACTCTAATTTCCTTTTACGTTTTTTCACTTACTTTAAAGGTGGGGACTCAAAGTCTTCCTCCCAGTAGCTTCTCCCCTCTTCTCGGTGCAAATCGATGTCTCTGGTCGAAGCAAAACTATGTGCGACTCCTTCACCGCCATGGAAATACAACGCATTGCCATCTGACTGACAGGCGTGCTGCTCAACAGCAAATACACAAAATGACACACATCAATATTTAGATCATCATAGTTTATGCTCCTCAGTTTATTTAAAATAGCAACACTTAAAGGAATAGTACACCCAAAACATGATTAGCCTTCATTTTCTACTCATCCCCATGCTGAACAACACTCTGGAGTACTTTTTTGATATCTCA